TGGGTTTCGCTACCGGTACCCCTTCCGCCCAGCAAATCTGTTTTACCTCATGAGTACAGAAAGACAAAACATAGATAAAGTGTCTTGCCAAAGACAAAGGCGTTTTGCACTGTGAACATTCGTGTGTTATCCTTGGTGTGTGTCACACCAAAGAAACCACCGACTTACGGTTGAGTAAGAGTCACAACGGTTGCGCTAACCGCTTCCACACCAACCCGCTTACACACTACATTACCACTTTTATATGATAAAATATAATAACTCCCAACTCCCTGGATAGAGGTATATTGGTCTTCTACAGAGCTAGTTATCCCTTATATCGCCACCGCTCACCTTCCTCCCTACCGTCACACCTGGAGTTGACGCGTCGACTATAAATCCAGTGAACGCTTTTCCAGCCGATGTCTTTGGATCTTCCGCTGTCCTCGCCAACACGAAGAAATTTTCCGCCACACCAGCATTCGTTATCCACATTTTGCTTCCATTTATCACATACTCGTCCCCTTTCTTTTCTGCTCTTGTTTTGATTCCCGCAACGTCAGACCCCGCACCTGGTTCAGTAACTGCATAAGACTGTAGTAATTTATTTTAATATTTCGTAACGTTATCTGATACATCGACTTTGATTTAAACTTCGATTTAGGTATTGAAACTTTAAGAATGTTTGATTTATTACCATTATTGTTTTTGTTATTGTTAGTTATTGTTATAGGCTACATTGTTATGCGTTGTTCTCATACTAAAGTCAAGTACTTTAAACCGCATTATTCGAAACTTCTCAATCAAAGTGTTAGGCCTACTCATGCGATTTGACAATTCATACTTTACCATAAATACAAGTTCTGATGTGAGTCTGCCAAGGTACTTCCTTTTCTGATCTTCTGATCCTCCTATGATAATTGGTGATGCCTATAAATACAATAATAATAATAATAATAATAATAATAATAATAATAATAATATAATAATAATATAAATAAAAAATCACTAATAATAGGCCTAATAATAATTCATAATAAAGATAACGATTATGATAGAGATAATGGTAAATATGATGGTGATGATGATAATGGTGATGAAAGTGATGATGATGATGATAAGGAGGAAGAGGACAATTGCAATGACGAGAATAATTGCAATGATGATGATAATAATAATAATAATATCCAGATATATATTTTCCTAGTGTGGTACATCTCTCAATTTTTTGAGTATTTACGAATAATTATATAACCTTATTACAAAGAAAATTAAGAATGAAAACATTGTGAAGAAGACAAACACTAGATATAACTCAAATAAAATAGACCTGTGACGAAGAGTTTCCACATCGGCAGATACCCCGATTTTTATGATAAATGATTTTTATGGACCATAGAGGAAAGAAATTTTATATATCCGTATCCAATATTTGGCTTATTCCAGATAAACACTTACCGACAAGGTATTACCCTCCAAGATCAGTTGCATGCCAGAACATCCATAGGCCAACTCTGTTGCAATTATACTGCATCCTAATGTGCCAAGTCCATAGCCACCTATTGCATAAGGTTCAGTTATGTTCGACATTAATTGCTATGTTTTCTATACTCTTGTACTATTACTTGTTTCATTACTGAATTCTTAAAACAATACTTGAAAAAAAATGTAATCCCATTAGTATGTGGAAGATGATTTATCTAGATGTGTATAAGAGACAGTATATTGTCCTTCTGATCAGGAAAAAGTCTTAGCGTTACGTAATTAACTATTTAACCTCATTTACTATTGACTACCCAAATGAATTAGCTTATTCTGTAGGAATTAAAAACCATTAGAGTTTTGGTTTCAACCTAGCTTGTTTGTTTTCATATAAAGATTTAAGAGAGCGAGCCTATGATAATCTCCTCAGAGTATGTCTAGGGTGAGTTTCACAATAAAATTGGCGCTATTAAGTTGTCATATTTTTTTAAAATTTAAAGAACCATTTCTTTAGATTTAGAGGGGAAGAAACGATAATGGTCAAATATATACAAAGGCCATAGTACCATTTGCAAGACTAACGAGATGGAAACGACAAATCATTTCCTTTTTGATTGAAAAGCACATAAACTATAGGTGATTTCCCACAAACGTTCATCACCCTTTTTTAAAGTTGGACCTCAAGGTTCCCGTTACACCTACAAAACAAAACAGGGGTTTCAGCAAGGACTGTAGGCCTACATGCAGTTACCACAGGGCACGTCGCATAGATGGCGCTGTTGGTTAAGGATGTGTTTTAAAGAACTTAAGCTTGTGAGTTCGAATCGCGTTTTGGTATTCAATTACATTTTTTTAACAAAATTTTAAATTTTAAAAATTTTTTAGATATTTTAGTTTTGTACAAATGAACATTCTAAATAATATTTTTTTTCTTTTTACAAATAAACATTCTAATTATTTAAAAATTTCTATCTTATTAGCTCTTCCAAAAAAACCCCCAAACCAATAGGGCCTATAATAACTTTGCCTGTACCGTATTTAAGCTTGGAGGAACGCGAGGACCAGTGAGCGGTCGCTCTATAACAACATAACACCCGTGTTCGTAAATGCTATTATGCATAGGCCTACATTGTTACTTATCCTAACATCTAAAAAAATAGTCTCGCTATAAGCGTATTCAGAAACGTTTGATACCGTAAAACCTCGGATTGAAGCCTTGGGCTTTTTTTTCCGAACTTTGGATGGGCTTCTTTCCGAGGCTGCTTTTGCAAAGTATAGGTGGGGGCTTCTTTTTAAAATGAATGCTGTAAATTTGGGAATTAGTACTAGGCCTATACAACAATAAATAGGGCCACTGTAACATTAATCTCTTTCATTGCGTGTATTAACCGGCATTAAATCACCTGAACCACTGTATAAACCAACGTGTTTTTATTTAATTTTGTTTCATTGAAATTCATGTACAGTGCATATACTACAGTATTCTGTATCGAAAAAAAGCATATGCTGTCTTGAAAAGAATTTCGAGATGGGCTTCTTTTTTAGGCTAATTTTGCAAACTAAAGAGGGGGTGGGGGCTTCAATTCGAGATAGGTTTCTTCTCGAGATTAAGCCCACATTGGTCTTCAATCGAAGTTTTACGGTAGCTAAACAGAGAGCGTGATATTCAAGTGTGACAATTGTTTTGTTTAAAAAAAAACATGTTCTTTTTAGAAACATGATATTATATGTTCTTCAACTATTAGGATTAATTTATGCCCCATAGAATTTACATACACGGTTGTAAGTTACCTAATTGACAAGCACTGATAATGGATTGGTTTCCGAAACATGTTTTTAAACCAAACAATTGTCGCACTTGAATATCATGCTCTCTATTTAGACATTAGGCCCTATATTCTATTTGCTTATTAAAAGTTTTGTATGGGTAAAACATCTCCTTGTGGGAGTGTTCCTCTGTCATGAAGACCAATAAATCTTATCTTAAGCGTTTCGTCTGACCCTGATGTGCCATCCGCAATATAATGTATTTCCTTTGAAAAATCACAGATAATAAAAATCATTTTTAAATTAATTACTTTATTGCGTTAAACCTATCTATTGTGAACGGTATAATATACAAACAATAGACCTTTCCAGAGTGTCACTCAAACCATCTCAAACCTAACCACTGGCTAATCAGAACAGCGCTAGGATTATGCATGCGTCTCACAAACACTCGCGTAGTGTCTCACAAACAATCCAAAGGGACGGGACGGGGCTTAGCGGAACGGTTAATTAAATAAAAGTGTGTTACAGCTTTTTTTTTTTTTTTTTTTTTTTTCGTAACTAAAGAACTTTTACCAGAAACGTTTTATTACCTCTCCTGTTCTGTCATAATAGGCAGCATTTGGTATGATCACACCACGGGTAAATTTGCGCGCCATATTCTGATATTCCAGTTGTTCATCAGAGAGTTCTGTGGATATGCAATTTGCTAACTTGGTAAGAAACCAAACATAAATTTCGAAGATGAATTTATCAATCTTGGTTTGAATAAGAAACTTCGGATATGTAAATGTATTCGTGTACTTACCGAAACACAATCCTTTATGAGAAGAAGAGGCCAAGCGCATTCCACGCCATGTTTTACTTGTTCCCAAAAACTTAAAAGAAAAATATATGGATGAGTACTAATTTAGGCCTATTAAAATTAAAAAAAAAAAGCTATCTAGAATACAATTGGTATGCATCCAACGGAGCATCATTTACTGCATATAGGCCTATAAATGTGAACCTACCCTCAGGTATCTTGACGGTAGCATTTCTAATGAACATTGGCCTTTGCTTGACCAGGATAAATTACAGGACGTTTGCCGCGGCTTACAGTTGGGACCTTTCTAAAAATTTAACACAATTTACTATATATATATGCTAATCACATAGCTATACGATAGCATAGGCCTATGCAAACAATAACAATGGGCTCAGTGTGTTTGATAAATAGCATACTGTAGAGAATTATCAACGTTAAGCTTGACCACATTGTCTACATTACGATAAGATTTTGCTCAGAAATGAAATTAATCTATCTATATCTATACGTCAATCTATGTCAAGGTTATCTTAAAGTTGCTAGCAAATCAGCACATAGGTAATAATAATAATAATATGTCGTTTTTATATAGCGCTTCATGACTTTATCCTCTAAGCGCTTCACATTACTACCCCGGTCATTGGATCAAACACATATGGAACACATTGAAACACCAAATTAAATTAATAAATGAACTTATATTATCATTCCATAAATTGCAGCTAGTAATCAGCGCAGGTTGTGTTGGAACCTACCAGGTACCCACTTGTACTCCTGGGTGGAGAGAGGCAACCGTAGATAAAGTGCCTTGCCCAATGACACAAGCGATTTGCACAGCCAGAGTTTCGAACCCCCGACCTCAAGGTTGGGAGTACAAGAAATGGTGGGTGGGGTGGAGAGTGATGTCGGTTAATTGTTTGTAAAATCAAAATGATAATTGAGAACCGTATGGAAAAATAATAACAAATGAACAACAAATATTTATTTCTTAAAATTTATATAGGCCCTATTTATTATGCTTCATACAACCTCGACAAGATACATATTCACTTTCATGAGTGATCACTATTCTGGTCCCGAAACATACCCGAAATGTCCGAGGAGAGTTTTGGCTTCTAGGATTTATTGTTATTGTATCAACCGCTATGTGTGGTATTCCTAGGATGTTCAATCTATAGTTCATCCCCAAGATGTAGCCGGGATTTCGGTATCGTGTGAGTACATTCCCATCCTCCTGGACCAAGGACGTTGCTGCTTGCACAAAAAATAATCAGTCTACCACTTTCAAAAGACATGCTCATTAACTTAAAGAATTTTCTAAAAGATTCTAGCAATTTGTTCATAATTGTGATTAAAATACCATCAAACTAAGACCCGTGCGACACGCTCATTAACTTAAAGAATTTTCTAAAAGATTCTAGCAATTTGTTCATAATTGTGATTAAAATACCATCAAACTAAGACCCGTGCGACACGCTCATTAACTTAAAGAATTTTCTAAAAGATTCTAGCAATTTGTTCATAATTGTGATTAAAATACCATCAAACTAAGACCCGTGCGATTTCCAAGAATATGGAATTGCAACATCCTTACATTGTATTTAGTCCCATCTGGTTTATTGAGACTCCTCGTTTTTTCCTCACTTTTTCACAATTTTGCAAAAAAATAATTGATCTATACTTAAAATTTAACAAAGTTAAAAAGTCAAATTAAGACAAAAATAAGGAAAAGTAAAATAAAAACAGGATGATACAAAGACGGCAAGAAACAATGGTCAAACATAAAACCCATCAGACCATAAATAGCTTAATCTAAATGATAAAAAGAAAACAAAATTTTACATATTTGGAAAGTATGTGTTTTTTTAACATGTCGGTAAAATTTATTTTTGAATTGGAATTTGAAATTGTAAAAGGAAAATTATTCCAGGACTTTTATTTGTTTTTCGCCTCAGCCCCAACCATGGTGGGGAAGAGTCTGAGATTAGTGTAAACTTTTCATTCTTCATGCGATATGTATGTTGAACGTCAGCAATAGGCACTGTCAAACTAAGACACTTTGAAAAACATCATTTTTTTGTATAAGCCTAAGTGTGCTATTTCAACCCTCTCCACCCTCCCACCCCCACCCCCTCAAAAAAGTAAAAAGCTTGGTAGGTGTGACTTGTAGTACTTGGCCCTCACGGAAAATTGTAATTCCCCCTCCCGATTAATGAGTCTATAGCTACGGGGCTGTAGCAAATGACAATAGGGATCACTACTTATCAACATTATATTATTAATATGCATTATATCTCTTTAAGACTCACAACAGTGACCCGTTCTCTAGAACATTCTTTATAACATCCAACAGTGTAAACATCAATTACAGGATGAAAATAACTATAGGCCTAAACTTGCACTTATTCAATTAAAAACTTAAAATTGTTTACAAATACAATGTAGACTTTTAATTGATTGTGTAAGTTTCTATGTTGTTTATTTTCTGTTTTTTTACAAATACAATGTAGACTTTTAATTGATTGATTTGGAGAAAAAGCACAATTCGTCGGGGAGAAAAAAAAATTATATGTATTTTCTACATATTATAGGACTCTAAAATCGATTAAATAAGCCTTTGAAACCCCTAAATTGTCAAAATTTTAGGGGGTTTCGCCCCCACCCAGGACCACTTCCTTTACCTTTTAATCGAAGCTCAACCACGCCCACTTTGATTTCGTCGGAGAAATCTGACCCCCCGTCGGGGCATCGGCCCCTCCCGTCGGGGACCTTGCCTTCCCCCCTCCCACCCCCGTCGGGCAAATCCTGGCGCCATCCCTTATTCAAACTAAGAGAACTGTCTCTCTTATGGAAACAAATTATTTTAAGCTGCTTGACTGTACTCCAGTGATGGCGCCAGGACCTGCCCGACGGAGGGGCTAAAGGTCCCGACGGGGGGGGGGGGGGAGGGNNNNTTAGTGAAGCGAATCGAGTCTCAGTTGGGTGGGGGCCAGAGGGCTGCCTATGTCCCCCGGTGGGGGTCCAAGGGCGAACCCCCTGGAAGCCACGGACATTTGATGAATTATGGCGATTTCTTTTTATTACTTACGGTATTTGATAGGCATCGAGTTACTATAATATGACTTCATGTAGGCTATGCTTTCTAATGTTGAAATCAGCTTCCAAAACCAAAACATTTTGAATGAAACAAGAAACAAAGAGTATGTAATGTAGGCCTAACCATCTAATTAAGTGGAATTCTATATTTTGGAAATTTTGCATGAAATTTGTCAACCATGAAGTCGTGGTCGGGGTTGCTTCACCAGTCACGATGTATTCCAACCATCACGAGGCTATCTTAATGAGCATTTGTCATAACAGAACGCAAATTATTATTATTATTATTATTATTATTATTATTATTATTATTATTATTATTATTATTATTATTATTATTATTATTATTATTATTATTATTATTATTATTAAATTTAATCGTCTTCCCCGACGGAGGGGCTATGCTTCCCCGTGCTATAGCCCCCCTACCCCCTCTGGCGCCACCACTGCTGTACTACTGCCATGAGAACAGGAACGCATACAAGTCCGAGAAAGACCGAGAGGGGTTTGTCCTCCGTACCGTGTGCTCGCGAAAAAGCTCCCGGTTTGAATAAGCGCCTGCGTGTTCTATTTTCTTTGTGGTTTGAATAAGCGTCATACAGTATAGTACAGTACATGTTAATTTTCCTTAGTGACAAAGCATAAAAAACCCCAGATATTATACAGCATTTATGGAATAAATTATAAATTAAATAATGAATAATAGATAAGTACTTTACCAGTTGTGATTGTGATTACAACAACTCGTATAGAGAGTGGCAGTTCAATAAATGAATATTTTGATTGTTGTCATTTATATTTATCGTCCTCCATAGTAAGATGTACTCCAGGGGCGGATTTAGAGGAGGGCCGGGTCGGCCCCTCCCCTTAAAGTTAAAAAAAAAAGAAAAAGAAAGAAGATGTTATTTTTGGGTGTCTAGAAAACAAAAATTTCGCGGGGGGGGGGGGATGTCCCCGGACCCTAAACAATAGTGTTGTCTCAATCGGCCCCATTTTTGTTCTTTCATTTTGTGTCATTTGGACTCATGTTTAAAAAAATGTCTACCTCTAACTGAGAGGATGAAACCATGTATCTTTTATTGACACGTAGTATTGTTTTGGCAAAGGAAAGTTAATCTGTATATAGATAACACATATGCATTATGTGGAGTATCTGTTTATACATGGCAACATGGAGATAATGACGATCACCCATCTTAACATATAGCTGTATTTAGCTATTATCAGTGGCGGAATCTAGGGTGGGGGTGAATAGGGTGGCTGGCCTCCCCCACCCCACTTCGGTGACCTCGAAAAAAAATATTGTCACTGATCTTGTGTGTGTGTGCAAGGAGGTATACCTCCTTGGTGTGTGCTTCTCATGTATAGTTGTTACATGTACTAGGCTATTCTCCTAGGCCTACACTTTCTATTTTAAGCTTAATTTCTTTTCAGATGTCATCCAAGAGCGTCTGCCGTCAACTAATTCCAAAAAAATCTCAAATGAAAGGGGATGCCTCTCCCTAAACCCATGATCAAGGAGGGACAGGAGGACACGTCTCCAAATACTGTTAAGCGGGGGGGGGGGGGAGTTGGTCCCTCTTTTCGTCCGCAATGTAATAATATCATAAGTCAAGAAGATGCCTGAAAATTGTTGGAATGAACTGCATGACCCAGGTTTTAAGAAAAGTGTGCTGTACAACCGGTACTCTATCTCTACCCACAAACATCTGAATTACTTATAATAATAATAATTTTTATTATAATTTGAGAATGAGAAAAAGCGTGTAATAATAATAATAAGATTGGTTTTCGGCACATGGTAAAGTAAATTAAAAATACATCAATGACAATTGAGTTTTATTTTCAATGGAACATCGCAGCGATTAATTTGATCGATGATGACGAATTTTATTATAACATAGTGTCATTTCCGGTAATCTAGAGGTACTATTTCCCCAATGTTTCCACCTCAGCCCTTGTGTGGACTAATGGCTTCGAAGTAGGTAGGCCTAAATTAAAGACAATGTTTTAATATTTATTTTCTATAGGACATCACACATATTAATTAGATAGAAATTTGTTGCCGCTTCATTTTTACTACCGGTATATTATGGTGATGTGATGACGATGAATTTACTACATATAAAAGTGTCATTTCCGGTCATCTAGAGCTACTATTTCCTAACATTTTCACACCTCAGGCCCAATCATTGTGGCCCTGAGGTGGGTGTAGGCTCACAAAATACCCCTTCACATTTCGAAACAGATCTGCGCCCTTGTCAAAAACACGCCGCCTCCCCCTACGCTTCGTGCTTCACAAATCGCATTATTCCCCCCCCCCCCATTGCTAAATCCTAGATCGCTACTGATTATTCTATCCTAGATCGCCACTGATTATACTTGCGTAGGAGAGCTAAGAACATTTTCATTTAAACGGATTCGTTTATAATAATTAGGCCTATTGTTGCTGCTGTTGTTGTTGTTTTTATTATATTATTATTATTATCATCATTATCATCATTATCATCATCATCATCCTCATCATCATCATCATTATCATCATTATTATTATTATATTTTCTCGAAAAGAAGCCCATGGATTTATTTTCAAGTTTGCATGGGTTTCTTTTCGAGATAGTACAGTACATACCTACACTTTCAAAGAAACAAAGTAAATTAAAAACAAGCTTGGTTTTATAGTAGTCTAGGTAATTTAATGTCGATTATTACACTCCATGATACAGACTGATGTTATAGTGGCCCTATTTATTGTTTTATAGTAGTAATTCCCAAAATTCCCATTTTAAAAAGAAGCCCCTGTCACGTCTTTACTTTGGAAATGTATGCCATCTCGAAAAGAAACCCTTTCAAAGTTCGGAAAAAAAAAAAATCTTTTATTCGAGGTTTTTTGGTATAATTTTAAAAATTAAAGGTAATGAAAACCTTCAGTAAGCTCATTTTAATTTCATTTTAAGGTTAAAATAAATGTGAATATATAATTTGAAATAAAATATTTATTTAAATAATATAATAATAATAATAATAATATTAATAATATTAATATTATATATTATTAATATTAATAAGAACATTTGGGAATGGTCCAGAAGCTGTTTGGTGCATATAATAATAATTATTTATTTTAATAATATTTTATTATCTAAATAATCCTCTTTAAAACCTTTTCCAAGCGCCTTTTATCCTTTGGAAAAAGGCGCTATATAAATTTCTATATTATTATTATTATTATTATTATTATTATTATTATTATTATTATTATTATTATTATTATTATTATTTTTATGTACAATATCTTATTTGTGGAAGATGAAGGGCGCCACCACATTATTGAAAATATTTATACTCTTACAAATACAAAAGAGCGTCGATAATAAACTCCATTCCACAGTGGCAAAGAGTATAGTGGTATTGTAGGATATACGGTCGTTGAGTTGCGTACAGTACTGCTTTAATTGAATTTTTTATTTACAATGGGAGAAAAGAATAAAGGTAGCGATAACGACGATGAAGGATCAGAAGTTGAATTTGTTGCTGATAAAGGTTATGGTAAGAAATTGATTTTTCCAAGCGTATCTTGCTTGTCTACTAAAGCCAATAATGCTAGGCCTAGCTCTGTCTCTTATACACATCTAGATGTGTATAAGAGACAGCCATGATACAGACTGATGTTATAGTTGCCCTATTTATTGTTTTATAGTAGTAATTCCCAAAATCCCCATTTCAAAAAGAAGCCCCTGTCACGTCTTTACTTTGGAAAAGTATCCCATCTCGAAAAGAAACCCATTCAAAGTTCGGAAAAAAATCTTTTATTCGAGGTTTTTTGGTATAATTTTAAAAAAGGTAATGAAAACCTTCAGTAAGCTCATTTTAATTTCATTTTAAGGTTAAAATAAATGTGAATATATAATTTTAAATAAAATATTTATTTAAATAATATAATAATAATAATAATAATAATAATAATAATAATATTAATAATATTATATATTATTAATATTAATAATATTAATAATATTAATATTATTATTATTAATAATGATAATATTATTATTATAATAATATTTATTTATTTTAATAATATTTTATTATCTAAATAATCCTCTTCCTACAATAAACCTTTTCTAAGCGCCTTTTATCCTTTGGCAAAAGGCGCTATATGAATTTCTATATTATTATTATTATTATTTTTATGTACAATATCTTATTTGTGGAAGATGAAGGGCGCCACCACATTATTGAAAATATTTTACTCTTACAAAAATACAAAAGAGCGTTGATAATAAACTCCATTCCACAGTGGCAAAGAGTATAGTGGTATTGTAGGATATACGGTCGTTGAGTTGCGTACAGTACTGTTTTAATTGAATTTTTTATTTACAATGGGAGAAAAGAATAAAGGTAGCGATAACGACGATGAAGGATCAGAAGTTGAATTTGTTGCTGATAAAGGTTATGGTAAGAAATTGATTTTTCCAAGCGTATCTTGCTTGTCTACTAAAGCCAAAGCTAGGCCTAGCTCGTGCGGAAATTCCTTCACCACAGGCCTTAATAAATAGCCCCATCATTTAATGATTCCAGTGGTCTAGCAGAATTCCCGCCTAGCATCGGTCAGCAAGATCAGTTTTGAGACCTTTGATGCTTAAGGCTTGGTACGCGAATGGATAAATATTATTTTTGCCGCTATTGTGGTTTTTATGTAGGCCTACATTTTTATACCTTCCAAATACTGTACTGTAAACATTTTTTTACAATTCAGTTTTTTCCTAGACCAGAATAGGCCTATAAATAGGCCTGTCACGCCAAAATTGGTCCGGGCCAAAAAATACAGACTATTTCTCATAGAATAGGCCTTTTTCACGTCATGATTAAACAATGTCATACAGTATTGAACAGAACAGAGTGTTCAATGTTCAATGTTTATTTCCACAATTCAATAATATTGCGGGTGATATGCAATAATGCCAGTCTTCAAAAAATGACGTCACGCACATTCTGGCACGTCATTGGGTGATGGTGACATAATGCCATTTACCGTACCTTTAGCAAATTGAAGTAGAAATAAATACAGTACCATATCTCTAGCCACGGCGTATTATATATTATACATATAATAATAATAATATTAGACTCGTCTGATCAGCTTTAAGCCATAGCCCCCTTACATCCTGCCTTTTATATGAATAATTGCTTAGCACTAACCATACGAAATACATGCACTAATGGGCATTGCAATATTATTATTAACGTTATATAACGTTTAAAATAACAATATGATTACACCAGGATGAAAACAATGGGTGGAGATGTATGGCAATGACTATACTGATATGATGAGTCATTCACAATAGGCTGTTGGTATTATTGTTTTTTATTTCATTATTTATATTGGCCATGGATATTGAAAAAAACACTGTTGATATTTCCTTGTCTTTTTTTAAAGCCTCATACTATAGATTTAAAAAATGAGTACAGTAGGCCTACAGTTATATAAATTTTTTAGTGCAATATATTAAAAAAAAATTTTTGTGTACCTTCACAATTAGTAGGTCATTTTCTATCAATACTAGCGCTCCATTTCACTGTGAGGTGATTATATTATTAATACATTGAAATTTATTTATAAATTATCAATTATTGTTGATTATTATAAATTTTATTGATTTAATATTAAATGTACAGTATGTATATTTAATTAAATTATGATCATTTATTAATCAATTTTAATGATTGGCTTTAAAATTGTGTGTTAATTAATTATTATGAACTTGTTCATAACAAGGATGGCTAGTACTATGGCTATAATAATGAAATCCAAAGTAGTAAAGAGAAAGTCCTTTATGTACTGTACAGAATCTGATTGTATGATGAAGTGAATTGTATTACTAATTTCCTCTCTAATCCTCTCAATGTCTCATATCAAACAATAGAAACTTATTATTCAATAGACTATAATATTAGATTGGTATCATTTGAATATCAGGAAGAAATACTTTAAATGGTTCTGTAAACTAGAAAGCAGACGACGTCAAACCATGGTGTGTCATACAGGTAGAGGTTAGGATCTATCCAGAAAAGAATTCTCTGAATATTCATTGAAAATTGGACTGTTAATAATATTTAATGAAAGCTTTAGTTTTGTTTAAAATTGTTGATATTTTAAATTGTTAACTTAAAAACCTGAGAAATAGGGTACTGTAAATTACAGTATGCAAGTTATACAGCTTTAATATAAAATTTTCATAGTTTATTGTAAAATTGTGAATAATTGAAAGTAACATACAAATTATTTCTTACTAACCTTTATGCTGGTTTCATAATGCATAAAAACTTCACTGAAGAGTAAAACTCGGTAATTATTTTATTTGTAGTCATTACCATTGTTGCGCTGTCTTTTATGTTGTATCACAAGAAAAATATACAATCATTTCAATCTTCATTTTTCCACTTATTCAACAACGAGATTTAAAAGGATCAATATATGTGGCAAAGACAAGCCAAACCAGTCACTCGTCGCAAATCGTGTTTCAGAGAAAATGACCAAAACATGCTGGAATGTCAAATTTAAAAAAATCTATTTTATTGCATTAAACTAACCTTTATATATCTACACATCATTCTATGCTGTTATTTTCCCCATTTTCAATGTTAAAACAATACTTTTTATTAAAGGATTTAAAGATAGTTTCTGCATGAGAAATGCCTGAAATCATAAACTTTGACGGTTAATTTCTCAAATATTGTTCTTTAAACAGCTGTGTGGTTAAATGCTTCATAAGGAAATGTCCGATTTGAATGATTTTTTTACCATTTTATAGCTATTATTTTACTCTCTAACACTGTATTAATAACTCAAAATTGATTTTTACGACAAGTGACTGGTTTGGCTTGTCTTTGCCACATATTTTGCCTATGAATGATGCCAATTTTGGGCATGACAAAGTTTGTAATAAGAATCTAGCATAAAAATAGCCCTACTACTATGTCTTGCGCATTTGGTTTAAATGTCATTTGAATAATAGTTCTGTCTTCTTTTTGTACAGTGACATTTTGACTAACAACAGGATATAAAATTCACAATATACCGGAATGACTTTTTCTACGAACTAAGCCAATTCTGGGCAATGCCAAGGTCAATTGTATGACAGAATCCAATATAACTGCGTTTATACTGTAAATGGCAGATAAAAAAAACTGTATTGATTAAGAAATTTTAGAATTATTGTATTATAAATGGATGTTTATCATTTCTGGACGATATCACCAAATTTACAGTATGTTGTGTTTAAGATCTTCAATGAGCATTTCTAATTATAAGTGCACCCAAATTATAAACAAAAAAGATTAATATATTTATGATAAAAACTCAAATTCAGTTCTTGTACAAATGTCCAACAAAATTATCCCTTTCTGTCTATCAATATTTTAATGTAGTGTAGAGTATGCCCTCCCTTTAAAGCCATTGAAGTGAATTTTATTGAAAAGCAAATTTTTTCCATGTTGGGATTCAAACTCAGAATTCTAATTACTTCATTTAGTTTTGGTGTTCTATCAAAGAAGCTTTACAAAGAGTTAAAATCTCCTGGAAATCCTTCCGAAGAAATTGTTCATATCATTTGCTCAACAAAGTGAAATGACTTCCCACTTACAGTGGATGCTAAATACAGTCGGAGTCAGATTTGTTTGAATAATATTAAAGCACAGTTTGGTTGTGACTGTAGCTGCCTGATGATCTGACATGACAAATGTATCAAATAATTGAACATAAAATTGGTGCAGGACTTTCAATTGGTTCATAAAAAGTTGCATTCCATTTGCCAAAAGTTGTAGGTGTTGTTAGTATCAAGTAATCAGCACATTTAAATAATGTAGATTTTGTATTTATTGCAATAGATTTATAATAAACTGTGGGAAGAAATGAATAACCATGTACACATGTTCATAATATACTGGTAATACATTTTTGCTTGACTTAGAGGCTAGTGAAGTGGTTTTTGTCTTGGGAAAAAGAAATTTCATTTCATTTATTTGTCTCAAACAATTAAAATGTACATATAAACAGAAACGGCAAAGAACAATCACAAAAGTACAAAAAAAACAAGAGACAGGACACTCCAAAAGTAAAATTAATCACCGTCGAGTGGAGGCCCTTCACGAGAAAAACACAAATACTTACAATATAAAGTTCTTCAAAAAGATCGATAAATATTGAAATAGAAATTTCACTATTGATGGTGGGACTTTACTTCAAAGGCTGTACTGCAATTAATGTGGTGTAGTTTAATTTTCATTTTTCATTCTTTAGTCTTTATTTGTATGTACTGTACTGTACAGTACTGAGTGTCCCAGTTGATAAGCTCTGGCTGGATGGACCACCCTTAGAAAATATATTTGAAATAAATGGTAAATAATTGGTATGTGAGCCTTGTTGTAGCAAGAACAGTAATACCAGTTGATGACTACACCCAGTGGGTTAATAAGGATCTGTTGTATTATAAATAAGTGTCTCTAGAGACACTCACAATCACCTACTATTTTTGCATGCATGA